CAACTATAATTTAATACATATATAGTCATGGGATGTGGAGTATAGTGTGGGAATGGAGTCAATGGAATTGTAATAGATATGTATGATATCGGGGGGGGGGCAATGGTTGGGGGGAGGGGGATAGTCACTTTGTGAGGGGTGAAAAGGATAACTAGTGCTATGTTTTGTACACCTGAAACTAATAATAATAAAAAATAAAAAATTGGGCCGGCCAAGTGGCGCGATGGTTAAGAACTGGCTTGGGACGCCAGAGAGCCCGGTTCGGATCCCACATGTGAGGGCCAGTGACACTGCCCTCTACAGCTGGGATGCTGAACAACAGCTCAGCCTGGAGCTGGGCTGCCATGGGTCACCGGCGACTGCAGGTGGGTTGCCATGGGCTACCATGTGTGGCCGGCAGCCAGCGTGAGCGGCCGTCCAGAGGCCGGCGACTGATCTGCATCACCTGGGAGGAGCGCAGTGGTGGTGCCAACTTGGGCCAGTGGAGCAACGTTCTCCACTGCTAGACTGAAGAACAAAGAACGACAGCGGCTTGTCTGTTACCCTTCCCCCAATTCCCCAATAAAAATCTTTTTACAAAAATAAAAATAAATAAAAATTAAAAATTAAAAAAATTAAAGGTAGAGAAAGATTTCTTAAAACAATTCACAAAAAGCACAAACCATAAAAGACTGATAAATTTGCCTTAAATTAGTATATAAAGCTCCTGCACATCAAAAGAAACAAAATGAAAAGACGAGCCACACACAAGGAGAAAAATATTTATAATACATACAACCTTACAAAGGAATAGTAACTGTAATTTGGTACGGATGCCTACTCTCAGTAAGAAAAAGATAAACAACCTCATAAACTCATAAAAACCAAGTCATACAAATGAGCAAAAGCAAGGAATAGGCAATTCACAGAAGAGAAACCTAAAAGGCCAGTAATTTCAAACTCAGTAGTAATCATGAAAATACAAATTAAAAACGGAATGATGAATAAAAGTGAGAATATCAAGTGTTGGTGAGAATATCAAGAAATCCTTCTACACTATTGGTGGGAAGATAAATTGCTATAACCACTTGGAGGACCATTTTATCATATTTAGCAATTCCATTCCTAGATAACTACCCTAAAAAACTCTTGTACAGTGTGGGAAGGGAAATGTATAAGAATGTTTAAAGCAACATTACTTATAATTATAAAAAAACTGGAACCAATTCAAATGTCTAGCAACAACAGAATGGCTGAATAAATATTGAATACTTGTAATGCAGTATTTTTATTGTGATAAAATATACATAACACAAAATTTACCATTTTAACTATTTTTTAGTGTACATTTCAATGGTATTCAGTATATTCACATTGTTGTACCACACCACCACTGTCTATCTCCAGGACATTTTCATCAGACCAAACTGAAACCACCATAACCACTGTTCTACTTTCTGTCTTTAAAAATTTGACTATTCTAGGTACCTCATATAAGTGGGATCATACAATAGTTGTCCTTTAGTGTATGGCTATTTCACTTAGCCTAATGTTTCCAAGGTTCATCCATGTTGTAACATGCATCAGACTTAATATCCTTTTTAAGGCTGAATAGAATTCCATGGCATATCTATACCACATTTTGTTTATCCATGAATACTTGGGTTATACATTAGACACTTGGGTTGCTTTCACCTTTTGGCTATTGTGAATAATGCTGCTATGAGCACTGTTGTACAAATAGCTGTTCAAGTCCTTGCTTTCAATTTTTTTTGGTATATATCTAAATGTAGAATTTCTGGATCATGTGGCAATTCTTTGAGGAACTATCCTACTGTTTTCCACAGAAACTGCACCATTTTACACTCCTGTCATAATGCAATATTATACAGTAATTAAAATAAATGATGAGAATTAAAATGTATGGCATGGGAACTTCTAAACATGTCATTCCCTCTTCTTGGAACATTCATTCTCCCATCCCTCCCAATGCTCCACCTGGATAAATCCTACTCATCCTCCTAGTGTTGGCATAAGCAATATACTTCTGAACAGTCTTTCCAGCCCACCTGCTTTTACCTCCGCCTCCCAGGCCCCTGTTGCCCCCCTCTTCTGTCTCTCCCTCTCATAGTCATCACCATGTATCGTAGTTGCCAGACTGAAGGCAGAACTGTGTCAGTCTTGTGCATTGATGACTCCAAAGAGTTGGCTTAGAGTAGATGTTTAAAATAGTAGTGTTAAGTCAATTGATGAGTTTTAGGACTATGACAAAGTGACAGAAAGCAGTTATAGTCCTGAGACCCCCTAAGTCCCGATGAAGCCAATATTCAGAGGCTGTTAGAAAGGGAAAGATTATTCCCCATCTCCTAGTGCCCCAGAATTCGAGCTGAAAGGGACTTTTGTGGGTTATTGTATCCGCCCTCCCACAGCGTGCAGTGTCCACCACGGCCTCCCTAAAAGTAGTTTTCCAGCCTGGCTTGAGCACTTCCAAGGATTATCATTATATCGTTATGCTTTCAGTTCCATGTTACAAAAACCCCAATTAAGAATGACAAACGAATGGAGGTTTATTTCCCTCACATACCAAGAGGCCCCAAGGTAGACAGTTACTGACTATGGTTCAGTCTTTCAATGATGTCTTTGGGGCCCAGGCTTTTCCATCTTTCTGCTCTGCCAACCTCAATATATTACCTTTTCATCCTTGTGTAATTGTTGCCTCATGATTGTAGAATGGCTGTCACAGCTCCAGACATCCCATCCCATTAAAGACAAGGGAAAGGGGCAGTGCCAGCAAGCTCTCCTCTTCTGCCTGTTCCTTTTAAAAGAAAGCAAAACTCTGGAAGTTCTCTAGGATATTTCCACCGATGTGTTATTGGCCAGCACTATATCATTAATCACAAAGTGAAGGTAGGTTGAAAAAGTAGATTTATTTTTTCTGGCCTCTATAGCGGAAGGTGACACAGGATGTGGTTAGGAATGACAACTAAATCTGTCTTAGGCAGTCACTGTCTCTTTTAAAGCAGACCCTCTGCCACATGAAGGGATTGAACAGAAACCTGGTTGGGCGGTGGGTATAACCAGTACCAGATCATAGTTACACATTTCCCAAGTGACCAATGGAGTCACCTGACTTTTCACACTTTCCTGTAGTAGATATCCCTCCCGAATCTAACCCTTACCTTCTCCTGTTCTGTCAGCCTTCTAATAGTCATGAGGTGTAGACAATTTATACCCCTCTGGAGGGAATAGAGCTGCCCAGCTGATTTTCCTGTCTCTTAGGACTTCCCAAAAGGTGTCTCTGAATTCCTCCACTGCATTTTGATTGAAAAGACACTGGACTGGGGGCAAGAATACTGGGGGTCTCACCTCAGCTTTACAATATTCAAGCTGTGTGAAATGGGGTGCCTTTGCCTTCTCTGGGCCTCAGTATCTTTATCTATAAAATGGGAGTATCAGATTAGATGATTGCCAAAGTCCCTGATAGCAATATCACTCTGGTGTCTGATTCTGCTTCTCTCACAAGAGGGGAGACTCCAGGAGATGGGAAAATAGTTTTTGCCTGCAGTACCTCTGCTCAGGCAGGCTATTCCAAGCAGCTGGGACACCTGTGCCACTGTCTTGGTGCCACACCCTTGCCCTCTGCCAATGGCTGCTCGGCTGTCAGTTCGCTCCTCCCCAGGGGTGCAGATACCAAATGAGCTGACTGGGATGGGAAGGCATTAAAAGCCCCACCCTTGGTCCCTGAAACACATCTCTACTCACTGCCTGTAGACATGTGGCTGGTTCTTCTCCTCCTGCTGTGTCTGAGCCCTGCAGCCCTGAACCAGGAGACTGGTAAGGAGCCAGCCTAGCAGGTCAAAGGGATCCTGGCCTCTAGACTCATTCATTCATTCATTCATTTTTGTCCCTGGCATGATCCACCTCCTGGGAGCTAATATTCACTAATGTTATTAATTAATTAATTCAGACATTTACTAAGCACGTACTAGTGCATAATGTGGCTTTTCTGTGTATGCATCTTTATATTTTTAAGATGTCCTTTGGTGATTAGCTTAGGAAAGCCTGTTTTAGTTGGGAAGTCCAGAGGAGTGTCCAGAGAGGTTCCCGTGAGCACAGGTTATCATGGGGCTCTAGAATGTGCACTGTTGGGGCGGGGGAAACAGGAGGGGACATGGTGTGGGAAGCCCAGATTCAGATTAATAGGCAGACTCACTGGGCAACTGCCAGGCACCAACTCATTAGGCTTGCTCAAACATCCCTGGAAATGCAATCGGATGGATACAGTCACCAGGACTTCTTTTGGGAGAAAGCTAGATGTCATTGGTAGGAATACATTGGGGGTGGGAGCCTTAAGAGACATGCTTAAATGATTACAGCCATGTTATTAAGTTGCTTTGTAAAAAGAAGGGCAGGCCTTCGGTTTTGCTGAGTGGGGTATTGCAAGGATGGGGCAGGAGCAGGATCGCTGGGAACCATCGAAGGGAGGCGGAGGCTGCCCGGTGTCCCCCTCCCTCACCCTTCCTTAGCAGTGCTCACCCTCTTCTCTCTAAAATGGTCCAACGTGTTTAAAGAGTATTGCTCTGGAGGGGTGCAAACTATTAGCTTTGGATTCCTTGCCCAGCTCTGTTTGGGCCGGTTCCTGGCTCCACAGCTTGTCCCTTTACGAGCACCTTGTCCTGAAGCCAATGGCATGGTCACAGAGAAGCTACTTGAGGTGTGACTCCTTCCCAGAAAGGCATTTCCTAACAGCTTCACGGTCCCTCCACCAAATACCATGGCTGTCTCCTCCTACCTGCATTACAGCACTGACCAGACAGTACAGTGACATTCTCGTGACTTGTAGTATGATGATGCTCTGTTCAGTAGACTGAACTCCTGGAAGGTGTGGTTTTCTTTGTGGGGGGGGGGTGGACAGGGCAGTGGAATGTACCTTGTATTTCTATGATCCATCATGGCCCTCAATAGAAAAAATGAATGCATGAATGAATGAATGAGTGAATGAATGGGTGCTTGGTCACCATGGAGGTGGATTTTCTTTCCTTTATGGCACTATCATTTTTCTGATGGTCCCAGCTGGGACTGTTAGTATCTATAGCTCTCTCCTGGCCCATGGACACTATGGGAGCTCAAGTGTGAACCCAAGTTCAATTCAGATCTTTTAAATTAAAAATTACTTGGCACTAGAAATTCAGAGATGCATTTCCTGTCCTCAAGTTGCTGGTAGGGAAGACAGATACATACCTCTAGAAAGAAGACTGTAACAGAAATAGAGACAGGGATTAATGCTATGTTAGAAGTTAAAATCAATAGGTTTTAAGAGTAAGAACAAAAGGTTAATCCCAGCTGGGGGATGTAGGACGGCCTCTCAAAATAGAACGAATTTATTTTTAAAAACTTTATTATGGAAATTTTCAAACATACACTAAAGTAGAGAGAATAGTAAAATGAACCCAATGTACCTATTGGCTAACTTCAAAATTATCAGCATTTTCCCCAAGTTCTTATCCACCACATTTTAAAAATATAACCACAATATTGTATCAGAGCTGAAATAATTAAAATAATACTTATTTTCATTTTATACTTATCAGTGTGCAGATTTCTCCTATGGTCAAAAAGGTCTTTTTGCAGTTGGCTTATTTTAATCAGGATCCAAACAAGATCTACAACTTACATTTAACTGGTATATTTCTTAAATCTCTTTATATCAGCCCTTTCCTCCTTTTGTTTTTCTGTTTATTTGTTGAAGAAACTTCGTGATTTGTCCTGTAGAATGTCCTACAGTCTGGAATTAATCTAATTGAGTCCTCGTGGATGCCTCTGTGTCCCCTGCATTTCCTGAAATCTGGTGGTTAAGGTTCATTTCTTTTGGCAAGACTATTCCATAGGTGGGGTTATGTGCTTCCTGTTGCATCTCGAAGGAGACACACATGTCAGGTTGTCCTACTTTTACTGGTGTTAAATTTGATCAGCGAGGTGCATCCACTATAGGTCCATTATAATAGTTCCCCTTCAACCTTTCTCTAATGGTTTCAGCCTCTACTGATGATTGTTGCTTAGATTCCTTTTTTTCACTACAGGTTGCCAAATGGTGGTTTTCTAATTCTATCATTCCTTTTGGGCTTTATTAGCTGGAGTTCTTCTGTAAAGAAGACCTTTCCCTTTGGCTGGCATGGAGAGGCTGGATAAATGTTTGATTTTTTTATTTATCGTTTTCAAAATCATAAGCTAGTTCCTTAGCAACCTCGAGGAGGTTGCATTTAAACATGACCTTGAAGGATAAGACTGTGTTCTTCTAGTGGCTATGGGAGGGAAGGGTGTTCCAGGCAGAGGAAATAGCTTGAGCACAGGCTCAAAAAGGGGAGCATGCAGGGTGTTTAGAGACAGAGATCAGTGTCAAGGGCAACCAGAGGCTTTCTGAGTGAGGATCCTGAGCACGGTGTGGTGGGAAAAGTAGGGAAGAAGTCAGGATTGCTAGTTCTGCTAACAGCAGTGTCAAACATTCAAGCATCACTTTGGGAAAATGGCTTTTCCCTTTCTAAATCAGTGGCTTTCACACTTTTATGGCCACAATTCACATTAATAAATGTATTTTACGCTGTGACTCAATACATACATACATGTATATAAAAACAAACAATTTTGAAAAGAACCCCAAACAACTTATATATACAATGTATGTGGGTATTTTCTATTCTTCTATTCTATTCTATTCTATTCTATTCTATTCTATTCTATTCTATTCTATTATTAAAATAAATGCTGGACATCATTAAATTGATCTCTCACAAATGGGCTATAACCCTTGTTTGGATAGTCCCTGGGACTCTTTTCCAGCTCCAGTCCTCTTTAGTCCATCCTTGATATTGGTGACAACCTGATGCTGGACCAGGCTCTTGGGAAGAGGGGTGATGTGAGAAGGGAAACTGATCTTTTGCAGGAGTCTCCTGAGCCGAACATGAGGCAGAAGCCTGGCCAAACTCAGAGGCTACAACCCTAACCCAACCCAGTCCACCATCACCTTGAAAAGTCTGACCTCCTGGGCCACTGCTCCCCTCCCACCAGACACCTGCTGGCCCCTGTTTCCACAACAAGCTGGGTTGACCACATCTGGCCCCACAGCCTTTCAGAGACCTGCTTCCTGTTGATCTTGTCAACTTTGGAAGGCCCTCAAGTTTATCCCTAAACAAAGCCCCGGGCAGGTGTTAACCTAACAGGAGGCAATTGGGAAGGTCAATGTAAAAGTAGAGAATAGCGCTGAGAGTCCCGGGCATGAGAACACCTGGGGCCTATTTCCATCCGAGCCACAGACTTACCAGGTAACCTGGGCCATGGTCCCTACCTGGCAATGCCTTGCTTTCCCATCTCTTAAAGAAGATAACCCCCCACATCTTACAGTGGATAGGCAATGATCAGATAATAATTGAGTTGAGCAACTTGGGGAACTGGTAAGAACTAGGGCTGGTGAAACTGTTTTGTGAATAGAGGCCATGGAGACCTTCCTCTAATTTAGTGGGTTTTTTCTCTGTCCCTTTTGTTACACTCTCTTCTATTGGTTGTTTTCTCTATTTATTGCCTCTCTCTCTTCCTTTCTGTCACACCCATGTCACACTCGTTTTCTTGTCTTCCTCTTCTCTCTCACTCTTCTCTCAGCTTTGTCTCATTCTTGTGCCTCTCTTTTTAATAACAGTTTTACATGTAACATAAAATTCATCCTTTTAAAGTGTGCAGTCCAGTGGTATTTAGTATAGTCACAGAGTTGTGCAACCAACACCTTTATTTTCAGAACATTTCATCCTCCACAAAAGATAACCTGTACCATTAGCAGTCACTCCCTATTCCCCACACTTCCCAGTCCCTGGCAAGCATTAATCTGTTTTCTGTCTCTATGAATTTGCCTATTCTAGACCTTCCATATAAATGGAATCATACATTATGTGGCTTTTGTGATTGCTTTCTTTCACTTTGCATAATGTTTTCAAGGCTCATCTGTGTTGTAGCATGTATCTATACTTCATTTTTTTTATGGCTGAATAATATTCCATTGTGTAGATATATCATATTTGTTTTATCCATTCATCAGTTGATGGATGTTTGAATTGTTTCCACTTTTTTTGGCTGTTATTAATAATGCTGTTAAAAACATTCATGTACAGGTTTTTATGTGAACATACACTTTCAGTTCTCGTAAGTATAGAGAAGAGGGTGGAACTGCTGGATCATATGGTCAACTCTGTTAAACATTCTGAGGAACTGTCAAACTGTTTTTTAAAGTGGTTGCACCATTTTTCAATCCCACCAGCAATGTATGGGGTTCCAGTTTCTCCACATTCTCACCAACACTTGTTATTTTCTGTCTTTTTTATTTTAACCATCTTACCTAGTTGTGAAGTGGTAGCTCATTGTGGTTTTGATTTGCATTTCCTTGATGACTAATGATGTTGAACATCCTTTCATGTGTTTATTGTATATCTTCTTTGGATATACCCTTTGTCCACTTGAAAATTGGGTTATTTGTCCTTATTTTTTGTTGAGCTGTGGGAGTTTTTCACATGTTCTAGATATAATTCTCTTATTACCTATATGATTTGCAGATGTTTTCTCCCATTCCATGGGTTGTCTTTTCACTTTCTTGATAGTATTCTTAGAGGCACAAAACTTTTAAATTTTGATCAAGTCTAGTTTATCTATTTTTTATTTTGTCACTTGCGCTTTTGGTGTCATATCTGAGAAACTGTTGTTTAATCCAAGGTCATGATGGTTTACATCTATGGTTTTGCTTCAGAGTTTTAATTTCAACTCTTACATTTAGAACTGTGATCCATTTTGAGCCAACTTTTTGTATATGGTATGAGGTAGAGGTCTCAATTCATTTTTTGCATATGGATCTACAGTTGTTCCAGCATTATTTGTTAAATATGTCTATTTTTGTACTTTTTTCTGCAGGCAGCTGCTCCCAACCCCAGCCCCTCTGCTGCCTTGGAACAAATGACCACTGCAAGAGAGGAAGCTGTTACTGCGATGAATTCTGCCATGTGCTAGCAGACTGCTGCCCAGACCGCCATTCCCTCTGCAACCTCGATAAATCACATGCAGGCTCTTGTCCACCCCAGGCAGAGCCGAATGCTGTGATTGACAGAGGCAAGTCCCTTGCATGTACTTCAGGCCAAGGCCAGGAAGTGTACTGGGTGGCTCCTGAGTGTCCCTAACAATTCTGAGATCCTCGTCTTCTGTCCATTTTATGTCAAAAATGCCTACACGTTCTTCGCAGCTTTGTTTCCCCACTGCTCCTTACCACCTGCTGCTCCCTGTGAGCCATTTTTCCAGGTCCCACAGGAAGAGGTTAAGCTATTGGTTGTTGGGGATCAGGATGAGGAGTGAGATGGTTGAATTCCACCTAACTGTTCCACTTTCTCTTGCAGTGTAGCTACCTCTTTTTTTTTTTTTAAGATTTTTTTATTTGGGAATTGGGGGAAGCGAACAGTGTTGGGGAATCAGGGAAGGGGAACAGACAAGTTGCTATCCTTTTGTTCTTCAGTGTAGTTGTGAAGGACGTCGCTTCACTGGTCCATGTTGGTATTGTGATCATTGCACTCTTCCCGGCTGAGGCAGTCTTTTGCTGGCCGTTGGATGGCCGCTCATGGCAGCTCACAGTGGTTCACGCCAACTGCCAGTCACTCATGCTGGCTGCTGGCCACTTACAATAGCTCACAGCAGCCCACTGCAGCAGGGGCTGCAGCCTACGCCATCACCAGTGACTCATGGCAGCCCAGCTCCAGGTCAAGCTGTTGTTCACCATCTTAGCTGTAGAGGGTGCAGCGTCACTGGCCCTCATGTGGGATCCAAACCAGGGCCCTCCTGCTCAGAGCTGGCATCCCAAGCCAATTCTTAACCAACGCGCCACTCGGCCGGCCCAACAGTATAGCTACCTCTTGACCTGTCCCATGTGGACTTCGGAGGGCAGACAGGAGTCTGCAGAGAGGGGCTGAGGATGTTGGACAGAAGCGAGGTTGGGGCGGGGGGTGGCGGTGAAGGCCGGAACAAAACAGGAACTTTTACCCTGTGTTTCTCAGCTTCTCAGAATACCAAGATGGTGCTGCAGATGGTGCTGAGGACAGAGAACCCACCAAGCCCTGCCAGAAGCAATTTAGACTGGATGCAGAACATGGTGAGTGTCCTGGAGGTTCTCCCCGACATGGTGATGGCAATCCACTCTTGCCTCCCTGGCCTCTGGGCCCCAAAGGCAGGGAGAAATTACCAAAGGGCGAAAAGAGGCCTGAGCTGGGACAGAGCTCCATTATAGCCATGGTTTAGGGCTTGGATTACAGCCAGGATTCTTGCCTATAGACACTAACACTTAAATTTCATGTATTTTCGGGTGTCCTGAAATATTATTCTTCTTCCGAAATTTTTAAACCACTTGCAAATGTAAAAAATATACTTAACGTGTGACTCTATGAAAAATAAGCACCACAGCAGATTTGGCTCCCAGATTGTGATTTGCCTCTTTCCTCCTTAACCCATCCTCTGTTCTTTATTTTTCTTCTGTGTCTTGGCTTCAGCCCTGACCTCTCCAAAGCTCTCTGCCCAACATTGGAGGAGAGGCTTGGCCCCCATTCTAGCATATGATAGTTCTGGGCAGAAAGAAAGGCAGCAAAATACAATGAAAAGAGCCACATGAACCTTGGTTCAAATCCTGACTCCACCACGTATTACCTGGGTGACCTCATATGACCTCTTCAGCCTTTCTCAGCCTTTTTTCTCTCATCAGTGCCCTAGAGTTTTCCTTCTAGGGCAGTTGTGGAAGGGCCTGGTTCTTGGTGAATGTATAACAAGAGATAACTCTTACTTGGGGACACGTGAATAAGCTCAAGAGGAAACAACCCTTTGCTTACTACTCACTTAGGTCCAGGAGCTTCTCCAAACCAGCCTCCCAGGGATGCTCCTCTCCGTCTCTGTGAAGGGAATCAAGAAGAAAGCCTGACACATCCCCTGAAGCTCCTCCCCGGGGCCGTGGAGCAGAGCTCACCATGCCCACCTGAGCCTGCTGGGCCTGGTGGCGCTTGCCCTCTCAGCTGCCATCCTGTGTGCTTCTACATTCGTTCAACCAGAGGAAAACAGAAATCTGCAATTGTTGTAAACACATTTAAATGTGCATAGACTCAGCCATACAAATGATAAAACATTAAGTTGGTACAATCATTGTTTTGTGACGGTTACAGTGAATCTAGCAAACATTTCTTCAAAGTAGAAAGTAAGAACCTAGCATCCCTTTGGCTAAGTAATTCATGCTCCTCTTTTCAATATTCCTTCCCAGGCACCATATTATTGTCTGTAAGTCCCGCAATAGCTTGGTCTGAGTCCTGTAACCTCATACCCACCTCCCTCTTCCCAGGGTGAAAGGAGAGGCAGAGGACCTTCCTCTGGTGGGCTGGAACTGGTCTCCCAGAGGTCTCTTCTTGTGAGGATTTCAAAGCTCCAAGAGGGTGATACCAGGGGGCTTTGGGGCCTGCTGAGCCCATCACCTTCCCTCCCAGACCTGCTCTTCCTCCTGTTCTGTGAATGGTTCTCTGCCCTACGGCTTCCTGGACTCTAGACATCAAGCTCATTTTTTAGGTTTCTCTGCCCCTGGCCTTCCTCTGCAAAGTGCCAAGTCTTTCTAGTTCTACTTTACAACATGGTTTACATCTGCTCCCCTTTTAGTCCACTGCCAAAGTCCCAGGTCACAGACTCCTGACTGGGCCTTTAGCCCTGGACTTTCCCCAAACAGGTCTCTGCCCACATTGTACTGCCCAAAGCAGAGCTCTGGTGTTGCTAGTTCCCTACTCAAAAACCATCCCTGCCTTCCTGTCATCTCCAGAACAAAGGCCAACCTTCCACTCATGGTGTGCAATGTCCCCCACAACACAGTCCCAAGACACATTTTGGATTTGTCTCCTGCTGGTCCCCTTCCCTTCTCTATGTTCCAACTGAATGGAAAGACGCATTAACCCCATCCAAGCCTCACTCTAAACCCTTGCTAATCTGAACACTGGTTTCTAAGTAAATGATTATAGCATAGGAGGTCCTATCAGGACAGAGCCCAGTTATTGGCTAAGGGGTCTGTTTTAGTTTAGTTTCTCTGAAAGCAGAACCTAAATAATTTATTTAGGAACACAATCCCAAGGAGTAGGGTTGACAGAAAGGGGCAGTGAAGCTGGGAACAAGGGAGAGCCAGTACAAAGATGTGTTGCCCAGCTGACCCCTTTGTCTGACTGGTGGTTGGATCCTGTGGGACCTTCTAAGAAGTCTTATGAAATGTGCTTGAGAGCCACCTGTCTCAGATGGCATCAGTCCATCAACTCCCATTTCCATGGTTTATGGGTTGATCTATAGGTGGCTAACTCTCCCAGTTCTTAGTTGCTGGTGTGTGAGAGCTGAGCAGCTCCCAGAAGCCTTCCAAGCTTTGGTGTCAGGGAAACCCTAGGGCAGAGAGCAAATGGCACATGGCAAGACACTTCCTGGTCACTCCTGGGAAATTGGTCTCTGCAGCAGTGGCTGGAGTAGGATGTGAGGCCAAGAGGACTTGAAGTGATGCACAAAAGGGATCCCTCCCGCAGGCTTTCAGAAACACTTGTTTCTTGCCTTCAGCTCTTCCAGGTGCAGCCTCTCCTACCCAGGGACAAAGAAGCCTGGGGGAGAGACAGCCCTGGGCCCTGCTTGGGTGAGCCCCACTCATGCTTCCAGAGCCTGAGATTTCCCTTCCTTGCCATTAGGTTTTTCAGGCAGGGCCCTGAGGCGTGGCCTGTCTGGTTGGGATCATCCTGTGGGCCTTGTAGAGAGCCCAGAGATGCTGACTTGTGGGCTCATTGCCCTCTCTTGGCTCAGTGCTTATTCTCCTTCCAAATGCCCAGAAACTACATCTCCTCCTTCTTCTGTCTCCCCTACATCATCCCCCTACCCCAGTCTGTATCCCCAGAGTTAGGTGTATCCAAACTGAAGAGACTGTTTCTGAGACGTTCCAATACTAGCAGAGGCTCCTCTCTAGTTGCGTGTGCATGTGTGTGCACATGTGCATGCATATTTTATTTCTACCTGCCTTCCATCCTCCCTCCCTATGTCCTCCAGATATCTTCCTTGTGAAAATCATTTCCCAGGCAGCAGCATACCCCTGAGAAAGCAGAGGATTTGTGTAATGCAAGTTTAGTTACACTGGGAAACCCACATCCACAAGAATATCTAAAATTAAAAGGACCGATGATACCAATTGTTGATGAGAATGTGGAGAAACTGGAATGGCAGTTGTCATGGTATAAGTTGGCACAATCAATTTGGAAAACTGTTTGATGCTATGTATTAAAACTAAACACATCTATATCCAAAGACCCAGCAATTCCACTGCTGGGTATATATACCCAAGACATATATATAGTCAGGTATATTCATAGCAGAATAGTGAAAAACTGGAAACAATCTAGATGTCCATCCATAAGAAAATGCATAAATAAATTGTGGTATATTTATACAGTGGAATACTACCCCAAAACAAAAAAGAATGAAGTACTGTTATACATAACATGGGTGAGTCTTGCAAGCATAATGTTAAGAGAAAGAAGCCAGAGTATAAAAAAGAATATAAATGCTTAATTCCATTTATATAAAGTTCAAAAACAGGCAGAACTAATCTATGGTGATACAGGTAAGAATGGTGGTTTGGGTGGTGGGTGGGGTGGATATTGACTGGAAGGGAACTCAAGGAAACCTGTTGAGGTGCTGAAAATGTCCTATATTATTATTTGGGTGGCGGATACATCCTGGGTGTGTACATATGTAAAAATTCATTAAACCATATACCACTTAAGGTTGGTGTAGTTTACTGTCTGTAGATTTTTGTTTGTTTGTTTGTTTGTTTGTTTAAAGATTTTTATTGGGGAATTGGGGGAAGGGGAACAGACAAGTTGCTGTCCTTTGTTCTTCAGTCTAGTTGTGGAGGACGTCACTTCACTGGCCCAAGTTGGCACCATCATTGCACTCTTCCCGGGCGAGGCACATCAGTCGCCGGCTTCTGGACGGCCGCTCACTTCGGCTGCTGGCCGCTCACGCTGGCTGCCGGCTACACACGGTAGCCCATGGCAACCCACTGCCACAGGGGCTGCAGCCCACGCCGTAGCCGGCAACTCAGGGCAGCCCAGCTCCAGGTCGAGCTGTTGTTCAGCATCTTAGCTGCAGAGGGCAGTGTCCTGGCCCTAATATGTGGGATCCGAACCGGGGCCCTTTGGTGTCCCAAGCCAGCTCTTAACCAACGCACCACTCTGCCGGCCCCTGTCTGTAGGTTTTACTTACATTAAATAAATAAATTAATTAATTAAAAAAAAAAAAAGAACAAATGAACAGAGGGCTCCCTGGAGTTTCCTATGCTACAACCCAAGAAAAAAACAGGGGTTAGGGTGGGGTGGGGGGCGGAGCCCACTCTCAGATCCTTGCACACTTAGATGATTCTCACCTCTCCTGGGGTAGCAGGGTCTCATCCACACAGTCTGTGCACACTCAACATTTTGAACCTATTGGGACCCACTCGGACCCCTAGAGTTGGTATAAAGATTATTTTAAAGTGGAAACATTTGAGCTACAGAAGATACAGAAAGAAATAGTATCAGAACTTCCCTTATCTGACTAAAGCAGAGCTTTCCCAAAATGTAGCTGCCATCATTCTTGCTCAGAAGGATTTTTCCTAACAATGCAGCTCACTTGGAGACATACTGGCCAACAGAACCTTCCAAACTTTCCCGTGGAAGCCCTCCCCCACTCCCACCCCCTTGTTAAGTTTGGTACATACACCTTTATGGCTATTCGGTGAGTTCCTCACTACTGAGCAGCTTCCTGTTGCACGAGTACATAAACTGTCTTCTCTTCATTCATCTGTTTTTTTCTTCATTAATTTGTAGGCCTCCAACCCCTGGACCCTTCATTTATTTTTTTTTTTTCCATTAGTGTTCATCTCTATATAATTCACTTATTTATTGTTTGCCATCTCTCCTCACTAGGGAGTTAATTCCATGAGGCAGGGGTTTGTTTCACATCACTGGGATCTGTGATGTACTCCAAGTGCATATAGAACAGAGTCTGACATACGGTAGGTGCTCTGAATATGTTTGTTAATTAATGAAACTAGCCTCGTATGCTCATTCAGGGTGAGAGCTAAGTTTGGCTAAAAAAAAAAAAAAAAGGTCCAGGAACTTTCTGAATATGTAATTATGGTCCCAAAGTCAACAGTCATGTGCTCAGACTTGAAAATTTCCCCCAAATACAGAGGAAGATGGATCAGACAAAATTCAGCAAACCCAGGGAAGCATTCAGTCAGGCTTCCCTCCCAGTGGGTTCCTCACCTCCTTATTTACCATGGCTGGGCTGTTGATCATTTATATGATGAAAAGAAAACGGAAATGGAGAAGGGGAGTCCGTAGTGGGGTGAGAAAGGCACCTGAAATACCTGTTTGTAGATTCAGCCACTGGCTGCTGGAATGAGGAAGTCCCTCTCCCGGGGTGGGACAGAGGTAGCACAGGAGGAAAGGGAGCTGGCAGAAAGGAGCTGCATTCCTGCTGCATTCCTGCTGCATTCCTGCAGGGTTTCCCCTCGGTCTCCTCTAGAAGGAAGCCTCAAGCTAGACGTGTGGAACAGAATTCAGGTCATTGCTGTGGCCCCAGGGCCCCCTCTCTCCACCTGAAATCCCTCAAAGGGAAATTCATCCTCCCACTTCTTAAAGTGAAGGACTGAGGCTGAATGGGAGGGTGGAAGGGCTCAGCCTGTCAGGAGTACTCTAGAGATTAATGGTATAGTTAGAGTTGGAATCCATGATCCCTGACCCCAATTGCTGGGTTGTGTCCCAGACAAAACACCTTCCCCCACCCGCTCAGGCTCTTCTCATGGAGTCTCCTCTCACCATGCTCCCTGGAATGATCCCTTCCTCCAGGCAGCAGAGCCCTTTATCTGGTGCAGGATTACGTTCTGGAAGACAGTCACATACCCAGAGCAGAATCTCAGACTGCATGGCCAAGAGGATTTCAGAGCTCTTGTTGACAGAGAAAGGGCAAACAAACTTGTCCAAGATCACACAGCTCCTTGGCCACCACTAAGGAAGGAGCAGGAAACAGAACCTAGACCTTCGGATCCCACTTTAAAGCTTTCTAGCCCTGCGATTTTGTGATTTCTTGATGCCAACCCAGCTAACTTTCTTCTACCCTAGAGCAGTTTTCATCACAAAACGGTTGCCCTGAAATCCCCAAGGTACTTTGTCTGGCCACTGGCTGTGGCCATGATAGCTCATGTCCTTGGTCCCTTGTGGAGATAAGATTCTCCTCTAAGGCATTTGGATACATATTTAGCAGCTTCATTCCGCTCTTCGTGGCCAGATTCCCTAAGCTTCCCTAAGTCATCACTCTCACCCTTCCCTCCTCCCAGACCCTGTGACTGAGACCAGCACCCTTATCCTTTCCTTTCTCCCAGCTAGTCTCCAGCCTGCACCTCCAGTCCGGCAGAAGGACAATCACAGGATGTGAAGATGAAAGGATGTTAGAATCAGTTCTGCCCCACACTGGAGAGCTGTCTCTACCCGACCTCAGGGGGCTGTCCCTTCTCTCCTTGCTTGAGGATCAGAGCGAACTTCAGGGCTCACTCATTTATTAAGCACCTAAGATGCATGTTTTCAGTGAGCACCAAGTACATAGCAGTCACTGTGTAAGAAGGGTTCACTCTCTCATGTAATCCTTACAAAACAGTCCAGCAAGGTAGGATCCTGCCCCTTTACAGCTCAGGAAGTTGAGCTTCAGAAAGTTTCTCTAATTTGCCCTAGATCATACTAATAAATCTAGGATTAGGAATGACACCCAGGTCTGTCTAACTAAAAGCCCAAGCCGCAGGCACAAGTGGGTGGGGAGAGGGGAAGGGAGATGGGAAGGAGGGAAAGGTGTTTGAAGTACCATCTTTCATGGCCTCCCTGGCTGCAGAACTAAGGGGTGAGTGTCACTGTAAATGATCCCACATCTTGAAATCGAACTTCAGAGGGGAGCGGGTACTGGGCAAAGGGGGCAGGAGAATTAGCTCACTGGCAACCCTTGACACGCAGCCTGCCAGTTCTCAGCCAGTGCATCTGTGATCAGCTGACTGCAATCTGGAAACTCCCGGTCACACCTAGGCAGGCGGCCTGCCCCTCCCCCCTGGGTAGAGGAAGCAGGAACAGGTGGCAGTGAGAGGCAGTGGGCAGGTCTCCCGGGCAGCGGTGGCTGGAACCCCAGCTAGGATGGGTTCACTCTGGGGCCTGGCTCTGACCCTTTTCTTCTGCTGCTGGGAGGCTGGGACCCCCAGGAGCTCTGCAGGTAAGGGAGCAAAAGGGGCCTATAGGCTTCTCTCATGGTGGGGCTCTCGGTGTAAGTTTCTGTCCCAGCAGCCATTTGTAGGTGACTGTAGCTCTCGGGCTAATTATAATTAACCTTAAGGCTATATGTGAAGTATTACTATTATTCATAAAGAGTATGAAAATGACAGTGTGTCCCCTTAAGCATGTATGACGCTGCCATCCATACAAATGAGCGACCTCATTGTGAGGTAGCTGTGCATTTGTTTTTATGCCCGTGGGAGTGTGAGCAAGTGGAGAGAGTGTGTGGATGGGGGGCAGGGAGATGCAGGCTGGTGATAAATCTGACTAAAGCCAAAGGATGTGGCTTGGCAAGATTCTAATTCCTCCGAGTTTATCCTTTAAAATATAGTTTTTATGTAAAAAATCTGACTGTCACAGACTGCTTGGGGAGGATGGGTTCTGAGAGAGGCAGGGCTTTGATGAAAGAAGAGAACTAACATTGATCTATAACAGGAACTGTGCAAGCTTGTCACATGCATTGTCTTTTTTTTTAAAGGACTTATTTTTTAGAGCAGTTTTAGGTTCACAGCAAAATTAAACGAAGAGTACAGAGATTTCCATATACCTTCTGCCCTCCTCCGAGGCACAGCCTCCCCCACTGTCAACATTCTGTACCACAGTGGTACTCATGTTACAGTCAATGAACCTCCATGGACACATCATTATCATGCACTACATTTTTCCCCCCTTTTTTTAAGACTTTATTTTTTTAAGAGCCATTTTAGGTTCACAGCAAAATTGAGAGGAAGGCACAGAGGTATCCCATATACCCCTGTGCGCTATCTTTTTCATCCCCACAATAACTCTATGAGAGAGGTAAAATTCCTACCCTCCCACCCCCTGGCCCCCCCTTTGAAGCTGAAGAGACCTAAGTTTACCAGGATTAGGTAACTGATACGCAGAGGCAGGGTTTGATACCACACATGCCTAGCTCACTGGACACACCACCTCCTGCATGCACTCTGATCTACCAGGCTTGTGCTGCACATTTTACATTTAATTTAATTTAATCTTCACAACTCTATGAAATAGAGACCCTTAGCTCCATCATACAGGTGAGAAAATGCAGAGGCTTGGAGCTGGGAGACTTGGCCAGAGTCACACAGTTGGTGAGTAGCAGAGAGAGGATTCAATCAAACGCAGAGTCCAAAGTCCACACACTTTCCTTCCACCAGATTGATCTGAGGAATGGAGCAGGAGCGCTGCAATATTCTGGAGCTAGAGAGGCCAGGGTGTGGGCTTTGAGAAGATCCCTGTTTGGAGGTCTTCTGTTTGAGAAGACCCTTGGTGGGTAAGAGATGTGGGGGTGGGGGGGGGGGAGTTGTGAGAACCCTGGAGATGAAGAGGCTTTGGGTTCGGGAAGCATGAGGAGGTTTCACAGCAGGGTCAGGATCACACCAAACGGCTCCTGGAAAAGGATGAAAATGTATCAGGGGAGGTCAGTGGTCAGATCCCAAGAACCCAAACCACTGTTTGGGCTTCAGCCTGTATGGGCTGACCTAGAAAGACTCTGCTTCCATCATGTGAAGGACCGCAGAGGACTGCTCAGAGAAATATTTCAGGCTTTGAAGAGGGGAGAAGAAAGTATATACCTGGAAAAGCATGATTTGTGTGTATAGTTAGACTGCATTGAACAAGTCATGAGAGCGAATGCCGTGACCTACCTAATAGGCATGGGGGTACAGCCTAAAATTCTAACTGTATTAAAATAGGTTGTGTGCTCTCAAGTGACTCCCTGAAAGGCCACAGTGGGGGAGGGATGCTTAATAACCCTTTACAGGCTTTAGAATATAAGAGCTTTCCCATTCTCCTTCTCCTCTGGTCCTTACCACCATGGGAAGGCAGGGATTGGGATTCTCTTTTACAGGGGAGAAAAAGGAGGCTTGCAGAGGTCCAGTGACTGGCCTCGCTGGTAGAAGGCAGAGTCAGGGTTTGAACCAGGAAATGATCAGACTCCACAGCTAGTAAGCCACAGACCTGGGCCTGGAACCTGGTCTCTAGCTTCCTGGCCCCGTGTTCTTTCAGTGGGAGACACAGGAGGACAGGCTGAGGACCGGGGACCCTGTCCTGACACGCTAGGTAGAGGTGACTACATGGTTCTGGCCCTCCTTTGGGTCCTTTTCAAACCTTCAGAACCCTGAAAAGGGGGACTTATATTTTGATTCTTTTTCTTCTAAGATACTAGGTAAAACACAGAGCATCCACTTACGTTTGAATTTCAGGTAATGAGGTATTTTTCAGTATAATTAAGTTTCAAATATTTCATGAAAAATACACCTACTAAAAATCATTTGTTGTTAAAATTATTCCTTGTTTTTCTGAAACCCAAATTTAACTGGGCTTCTTATATTTTTATTTGCTAAATCTGGTAACCCTCCCCAGGAGGTTCCTTGGCCCACTTTCAGAGAGAGTCCCTCCCTCCCTCAGTGGACAGGAGAGGCACCCTTGTCATCCTGCTGTAACCTCCCCCGGGTAATGAGCACCAGCTGGCCCTCCACTCACACAACCTCAGAGGGCCAGTCAAGTGAACAGAGACGTTCTTCCCTATAGAGAAATGCTAGCAGCATCTCTCTGAAAAGTAAAGTTTTGCCTCTCACCTGGCTCCCTGTTACCTGTGGAAAATGCCTGGTACTTCATCTCTGGAGTTCTGGGGTTCTATCCCTGTCGTCTCAGGTCCATATTCAGGAGATGCTTGAGCACGGATGGGAAGCTCTCCCTTTTTCCTTTGCTGGAGCCCCAAAGACTTTACCTGCTCACCTCCCCTTTGCAGCAGCCACCATCCACACTGTCTCTGGAGGTTCTCCGCTCCTAGTCCTCCCAGCTACCTCTAAACAAAACCACAGATGTTTCTTGTATTCGAAGTGCTTTTACTTCCATGGGGGAAGCATTTGCTGGATGAAAAAAGTATCGATGGGAAAGTGACAAGGATTCTTTTAGAAAGTTCAGAGAGTTGTGTTCCTGCTCTGCAGTTCTTGGCTCACGTGAACTTCTGCTTTCTTTGCTCCCTCTTGAGGCTGAATCCTGGCCCCACACATTCCCTCTGATGCCTTCAGGCCAAATAATCAACTAGATTCTGGGGCTTGCACCTCAAGTGGGCTGTCAGAGGTTATCAGTCAGGGCAATCCCAGTTCTGTGGCTGCCGCAGGGCACTCGTCTTCCTGACACTACCTCCCTCTTCTTTGTAAATATAGATGAAAAATGGAGTAAAGCCAACTCCCCTCCTCCCAGCAGTCCCCAGGGCATAAATACAAGAGTTTATATGAAGTCTTGGACTCATGACTCACAAAATTGTCTTACCCAACACAGGCCCTAACACCCTCAGACGAGGCTCTGTGGGGACAATGAACCACACAGAAGTGCCTGCTGTGACTCTGGGGGTCCACACAAGCTCAGTGGGAAACTCGCAGACCCCTGACCTTGCTAAGACCTCTGTGCCAAGCCACATGCCTTTGGAAACTCAAACCCTGGGCACCCAGACCTCTGATAGGACCTCTATCCCAGTCGGTACCATCTCAGAGGCAGAGACCAAAGAAACCAAAATCAAAATTCCGGTAACAGAGATCAGGGCCCTCACAAAAATAACACCTTCCAAGTTCATGGCTGTGATGACCATTCCTATGGAGACATCAGCCACAAGTGACAGCCCCTCAGGAACTGGGATAGCCACAGATGAAACTCTTATAGGTAATGATCTCTCGGAAGCCATCTTTGACACCTTTTGTACTGATGACAGCTCTGAAGAGGCAAAGAGGATCACAAGTGACACCTTGACATTGTCTTGCACCTCCGTAGAAACCAGGGCCCTGGCCTTGGAGAGTAACTCGGTTCCAGCCATCATCACCTCACAAGCCCTGGCACCTGAAATCACTGCTCTTTCTAAAACCTTGGTTGCCTGCACCATCACCGACATTGAGGGTACCAATTGCAGTGTTATAGAAATTGAAACAACTGCCACCATCTCTGGGACCTCAGGCCTAGATCACAGCTCCACAGGAAGAAAGGCCTTGTCCACTCCTGAGACGTCGGTTTTGCCTCACTTCACTGAAGCAAAACCACACCTCACCAGGACCACAACCTCTTCTAAGACCTTGTCAACAGCCAGTGTCACAGACTCAGCCACACCTGGTACCACCATTGAGACCCCATTCACTGCCAATAGCCCCACAGAAGGAGAAACAACAGCAGCCAAGGCCACTACCCCCAGTGGAACTTTGGGGACAGTCAGCATGAACCCCTTGGAAGAAACCTCAGTCCTCTCTGTTGAGACAACAAGCCACACCGAGGCCTCAGGAGCAGTTACAATCTCCACAGAGGCTGGGTCAACAGTGGGCAAAGCGACTCCCCCTGCTGGGTCCTCAGCTACGATCTACAGCCTCTCCGTAGTAGGCACCATCAAGAACTGCACCCCCTCAGAGACTTCTGCCACAGCAAGCACAACCAGTGGGCCTGTCCCCATCAGCAGGACTCCTCTTCCCTCTGTCCATCTGACCATTGCCAACAGCAGTCAAGAAACAGACATCACCTTAGCCAAGACCACAGCCTCAGCAAAGACCTCGAAGACAGCCAGCACGGCCGGAGGAAAGCCCCCAACAGCCACGCCAACCACTGCGGGGACAAGTTGGACCACAAAAGTCACTGCAGGTAAGTGGTTCCCCTACATGGGATCTTTAAGGATGTGGGGTTTAGTCTCCAGGATGTCTACATGCTTAAGGAGTAGAGAGGGAGAAAGGGTCTGAGACCTCTTCTGGGGCCTGTCTCTGATGTTGCCTCTTTATGCTCTTCTGGTGGTTCTTGCCAAAATCAGTAACAAGCAGAGTTAGGGTGGTGTATGAAAAGAGCATGGGGCTGGAAGTCTGGAAAAATGGTTTGAGATCTTGGCTCTGCCCTTAACAACCTGAGTGACCTTAGATGGTTTCCTCTCCCTTTCTGGGCCTCAGTTTCCCCACTGGAGGGGGTTGCAATGAATGAACAATGAGGTCCTTTTCAGCTCTGCCCTTCTATGAAGTTAACTGTTGAGTAACTACTGGGCACCAGGTGAGGCCCCCAATTTTATTTAAGAGACACAGACGTCATGCTCTGGAAGCCTTGGGTTCAGCCAGAGCCACACAGAGGAGCCCTGTGTGGGCATCTGTCCCAAGCTGCTGCCCTCTGAGCAGCTGGGATCCCATGAAAATGGGGCTCACTGGATGCACTTGCTGGGGTTGGTATCATAGATGGTGACTTGAAATAAATACATAAATTGGGCGAAGGTTTGGGAGTTTAAGCTACACCTCTGAGACAACAGATACTTCTCAGGGAAGAAGTTCTTTGTCAGAGGCTCCTCGGTCAGCCCAGCTCCTGGTCAGCCTATGGCCTCCACCTCCACTTCCCACTACTGTCCTTGCACCTCATTCCTGTGGTGTTCTCAGCTGGCCCTGATTTTCTGGGGAGGTAAAATAAAAATATCAATCATGACCACCTTACTGAATTTCTTTGTATTCTAGGCAGAAGTGATATAAAAATATTTCACAGCCAATAAACATTGGCACTAGCTGAATGTTCTCTCTGATATCAGGTGTGTACTCTGAGCTCTACATATGTTATCTCTTCTCATTAACCCTTCAAACCACCTGATAATGTGGGTATTATTGCCCCATCTGACAGGTGAGGAAAAACAGATTCAACAATGGTAAAAAGAGAGCTGTGGGGTTCCAAATGAGTCTGTTGAGGCCAAAACTCAGTCTCCTATTGTGCTTTTTAAATTTATTATTATTTTATTTTTTAAAGCTCAATTTATTAATATATTTTTATTTTAGAGAGCTTTTCTTTAGTATTTGTTGATTAGATGATACATTCACATAATTTAAAATTCAATAGGTACAAAACTGTACATCATAATATGTCTCTCTCCCACTGCTGTCCCCCAACTACCCAATTTTCCTCACATATATAACTGATGGAATCACTGTCTGTGGATCCTCTTCTAGACATGAAATATGCATTTGGGATTATAAAAAGGAGGATGAAAGATATCTATATAGAGATATTGATATCTATCTATATCTATATAAACCTATAAAGCTATAGATAGATATCTTATATCCTCCTTTTTTATTTTATTTTTTATTTTTATTTATTTTATTTTATTTTTTTAAATATTTTTATTGGGGAATTGGGGGTTGGGAGCAGCACTGGGGAATTGGGGTAAAGGAACAGACAAGTTGCTGTCGTTTTGTTCTTCAGTCTAGTTGTGGAGGACGTTGCTTCACTGGCCCAAGTTGGCACCATCATTGCGCTCTTCCTGGGCGAGGCAGATCAGTCGCCGGCTTCTGGACGGCCGCTCACTGCGGCTGCTAGCCGCTCATGCTGGCTGCTGGCTACACACGGTAGCCCATGGCAACCCACTGCCACAGGGGCTGCAGCCTATGCCGTCGCCTGCGACTCACGGCAGCCCAGCTTCAGGTCAAGCTGTTGTTCAGCATCTTAGCTGTAGAGGGCCGTGTCACTGTCCCTCATATGTGGGATCCAAACCAGGGCCTTCTGGTGTCCCAAGCCAGCTCTTAACCAACACGCCACTCAGCCGGCCCTATCCCCCTTTTTTATATAAGTGGAGTGTAGGATAAAGACAGATCTCTGAGATAAAACTTTAAAAAAAAATTTTTTTTTTATTGCTGCTCAGTATTCCATTTTATTTTACTAACATGTATTTAACCAGTCCTCTATGGGTGGACATTTAGGATGTTTTCAGTATTGTGTTATGACAATCAGGGCTGCAATTAATAGTACATTTCTTATATGCGTGTAATATAATTAGGATAATTTTCTAGCAGTGCAATTGCTGGATCGATTCTAATAGTATTCTGATAAGAAATGGCTACAAGGTGGCAGATAAAGGCAAACAGATTACGCCTCAACAACAGACAGAACTTGCTTACAGAGCTGCCACGTTGGGAAGGCTGGATTAAAAGGCCTCCACCAATTTAGAGCTGAAAAACCTGGCTGAGGGCATCCCGTCAGAGAGCCAGCCTCTCTCCAGCCTTCTCCCCGCTGGGACCTTCCTAACAGCCTTGTCCTGGCCTTGAGAACATTCTAGATCCACTTTTTTTAAAAATATTTTATTGAGGAATTGGGGGAGGGGAACAGTGCTGGGGAATTGGGCGAAGGGGAACAGACAAGTTCCTGTCGTTTTGTTCTTCAGTCTAGTTGTGGAGGACATTGCTTCACTGGCCCAAGCTGGCACCATGATTGCCCTCATCCCGGGTGAGGCTTCTGGACAGCCACTCACGGTGGCTGCTGGCTGTTCACGCTGGCTGCTGGCTACACACGGTAGCTTATGGCAACCCACTGCAGTAGGGGACTGCAGCCTATGCCATAGCTGGCGACCCATGGCAGCCCAGCTCCAGGTTGAGCTGTTGTTCAGCATCTTAGCTGCAGAGGGCAGTGTCACTGGCCCTCATATGTGGGATCCGAACCGGGGCCCTCTGGTGTCCCAAGCCAGCTCTCAACCAATGCGCCACTCAGCCGGCCCCTAGATCCACTTTTATTTCTCCTTCCTCACACTACTCTTTTTTTTTTAAATATTTTTTTAATTGAGGAATTGGGGGAGGGGAACAGCGCTGGGGAATCAGGGAAGGGGAACAGACAAGTTGCTGTCCTTTTGTTCTTCAGTATAGTTGTGGAGGACGGATGTCGCTTCACTGGCCCATGTTGGTATTATCATTGCGCTGTTCCCGGGTGAGGCAGGTCGGTCGCCGGCCTCTGGACGGCGGTTCATGGTGGCTCTTGGCAGCTCACACTGGCTGCCAGCCGCTCACAGTAGCTTTCAGGAGCCCACTGCAGCCCCATTGCAGCCTATGCCGTCGCCAGCAACTCATTGCAACCCAGCTCCAGGACGAGCTGTTGTTCACCACCTTAGCTGTAGAGGGCAGTGTCACTGGCCCACATGTAGGATCTGTACCGGGGCCCTGCTGCTCAGAGCTGGTGTCCCAAGCCAGCTGTAACCAACCCGCCACTCAGCTGGCCCCTCACACTACTCTTTTGACTTCTCTAAATGTGGATGGGTCGTTAGCCATCATTTCCTTCACTCTTGTTGGGAAGACACTCCAATGGGCCCAATTATCAGAAAAAGGAAACCCTTTTTCTCTTTGCAGTGAGTAAATGTAAGATCCTATGAACACAGACATAATTACACATGAGAGTGAGCACTTATATGTGGAGGGGAACAGAGGCTGGGTAGCACAGTTCACGTCTTGATTTCTGAACTGACTTCCCCACATTTTCATCTTCCTACTGTTTCTCAATGTGCAGGTGGGGATGGAGGCTTCCTCCTCCTGCAACTGAGAGTGGCCTCCCCAGAAGACCTCACTGACCCCAGAGTGTCAGAGAGGCTGATGCACCAGGTGAGTGGGCACTTTCTGGGCCAGGGCTGTAGAGGAAAGTAAGAGGTTCTTGGGATTTCCAGAGCAGATCTGCAGACTACAGAAGAGCAACTGTTAGACTTGGGAGGAGTCCAGTTTCTCATGGAGCATTAGGAGCTAAATCTAAGGATCCCTGCTTGGCTTTGCTTCTGCCCATTTTTCCTGATTTCTGAATTCCTTTTTTCTGCTACATAAAAAAATTTCTTTCTCTCACCCCCAATTTCCTCAGGTTCTTGGAAGGTCAGGCCTTCTGGCCCCTGGGAGAAGGTCAGTGATGTTAATGGGCAGATAGGCAGCACTTTTGGTTGCACGTGGCAGAAATCCAACTTATCAAAGGTTACACAGAAAACCAAGGTATTGGCCGAGAAACCTAGAAGTGGCTGTCCACCTTCAGGTGTGGCTGGACCCAGCAGCTCAAACACGATCATCAGGGTTCTCTCTCTCTCTCTCTCTCTCTCTCTCTCTCTCTCTCTCTCTCTCCCTCCCTCTCTCTCAGCTCTGCTCCATTCATTCTTCAGAACCTCTCTCCATATGTAAGGAAAAGTGGCTATGACAGCCCTAGATTCACAAGGTTGTTAGTTCCTTCTCCCAAGATCTGCATATCATATTAGGGGAGGACTGATCTCATTGGCCTGCAAGGGTCACTATGACTGACAACCTGACCACATGGAATGGGAAGGGCGGGCCCTAAAGGAAACAGGCATGGTAAGCAGAAAAAACACCGATAAATGTAAACTCTAGATGGGGATCAAGATTGGGATATATTTGTATATCAAGTTGGGAAAATTCTTCTGAAACTCAGGTCACTGGACAAAGCGTCTAGTGGTGGAATTCTGGGGTCAGGGCTTTTGGGAATGGTGTGAATCATTGGAAGGTCAGACTGGGTCAGCTCGACCTAGCTCTTGTGCTCACACCTTGCTGCCAGGGGATGGGAAGAGAGAATATCTAGGCGCTTGAAGTGCTTTTAGTGGAAGGGGGACCCATCAGGACTCCCATTATAAGGAGGTCCCTGAACGTGTCATGGGGGTTTTGAAGCAGGGCAGCCAAATAAATGACAAATGCCTACTGCACATGATAATCAAAGCAGCCCACTACACATGATAATCAAAGCAGCAAGTAAGAATCCTAGTTAAAGAGGGAAAGCCAGAGTTGTCTCAGATCTGAGTCCCCCAATCTGGAAACTATTTCAGGGGTCAGAAAGAAGCCAGGGAGATAGGAGTAGGTCAGGAGCAGAGGTGCAGGAACCAGGCCATGTGGGTGTTGGGCATCAGTTCTTGGGAGAGCAATTGGCGTAGGGCTCAGGGATCAAACAAGTTTTAGAGCCAGATAGATCTGGGTGTGAATTCCAGTTCCTATCTGTGTGACCTTGGGTAAGTTACTCCATATTACTTTCCTCCCTTATAAAATGAGGCTAATACTACCTGCTTTATAAAGTCACTGTGAGATTTAAATGACATAATGTGCATGAAGTACCTAGCTCATGCCCTGCGTGCGGGAGGCTCAGGAAATGCTGCTGGTCTCCTCATATGTTCTCTTCTCCTGTCCTTGGTCTGTAGTGAGCTCATGGGCCAGATGGGACAGAAATACCCACCTGTTCCTTTTGCCCTCCAGCTCCGCCATGAACTGCATGCGCACATGCCTCCCATCCAAGTGTCTCTTCTGCGTGTCAGGAGAGACTAAAGACCATCGGCTGCAGCCAGGTGTGGCTGTGTGCCAAGCGCGGGACAGTGTTGCCTATGGCCTGGGACCCACCACAGACTGAAGCCACATTGCTATGCCAAGATGTACCTGGAAGGTTCCCCCGGACGTCAGTTGGCCTAACCCCTTACCCCAGACATGGCAGCGGGATCCTGGCTCATATATGCCTGAGTGTAAGCATATGGGGAGGGGGGCTTCCCCTGTTCCAGAGATATCCTTAGACTTCCCTTGGCACATGTGTTGTGATTCAATAAAGAGTGACCTGATCACCCATCTGTCACCTGCTGTGTGCTTTCCTCTACATTACAATTGTGATAGAAGGATTTGTGCATCCTCACTGCCGTCTTCCTCCTTCATGTTTCCCTGGTTCTTGGTTTGGACCTTGATTACAGCACTTATTGAGGCTGATGCTGGAGCCTGTTAATTGTGAACTCCTTCAGAGCAGGGACCATATTTGTTTATCTCAGTATCCCCTGAACCTAACAGAGCGCCTGGACTGAAGTAGGATCACAGAGAATGTTTGTTGAACTGACTTGAATTTCAGGTTCTAAACACAAACACATGTAAAAGAAAGTGCAATATTCAATTATTTCTCCCCCATATTACTTTTTAAAATTTATGTGGCTTTTCTTTTTTCTATTGCTAAAATAGAACTTGCTTATGATTTTAAATTTTCCAAAAACTCAAAAGGACGAAGAAAAAAAGAGAAATGGAAAGAGGAGAGGCAGAGAAAGAAAAAATACTTTCTAAAATCTCACCTCTTATATGAGGTCTGAAAATTAAGTTTGCAAATTTGTTGCAAAGATGTTGCCAACCTTTTTTGATATCAGAGAGATTATTAATTGTGAATTTGTACCAGCTGGACAAACAATTAACTAAGTTTACTATTTAGAAGTGCTGAAAAGGCTGCGTGAAAAAGTTAGACGACTTGAAGTTTTCACCAACAATTCATGGCTCTTGTGTTATGACTATGCACCAGCTCACACAGCAATGTCTGTGAGGAAGTTTTTAGCCAGTAAACAAATAACTGTATTGGGACACCCTCCCTACTCACTTGATCTGGCCCCCAATGATTTCTTTCTTTCCCCGAAAATAAAGGAAATAGGTGCATTGAAAGGAAAACATTTTGATGACATTCAGGACATCAAGGACATTCAGGACATCATAACACAACAACAGTTCTGATGGCCATTCCAGAAAAAGAGTTCCAAAATTGCTTTGAAGGGTGGGCTAGGTGCTGGCGTCGGTGCATAGCTTCCCAAGGGGAGTACTTTGAAGGTGACTGTAAGGATATTCAGCAATGAGGTATGTAGCACTTTTTCTAGGATGAGTTCGTGAACTTAATTGTCTGAACTTGTATGATGCTGAACATCTTTTCATATGTTTACTTGCCATCTTTATATCTTATTTGGTGAGGTCTATGTTCAGGTCTTTTGCCAATTTTTAAATCAGGTCATTTGTCCTCTTATTGTTGAGTTTTAAGAGTCCTTCGTATATTTTGAATGACAATTCTTTATCAGATGAGTCTTTTGCAAATTTTTAATCCTAGTCTGTGACTGTCTTCTCGTTCTCTTGACATTGTCTGCCACAGAGCAGAAGTTTTTAATTTTAATAAAGTCCAGCTTATCAGTTCTTTCTTTCATGGATTATACCTTTGGTGTTGTATCTAAAAAGTCATCACCATATCCAAGGTCATCTAGATTTTCTCTTATGTTATCTTCTAGGAGTTTTATATTTAGGTCTATGATGTGTGTTTTGTGTTTTACATTTAGGTTATGATTCAATTTGAGTAAATTTTTGTGAAAACTGTAGGGTCTGGTCTAAATTCATTTTCTTGATGTTCAATTGTTCTGATACCATTTGTTGAAAAGGCTATCTTTGCTTCATTGTGTTGCCTTTGCTCATTTGTCAAAGATCAGTTGTCTATATAGATATGGGACTATTTCTGAACCTTCTATTCTGTTCTCTTGATCTATTTGCCTGTCCTTTTGCCAACACCACACTGTCTTGATTACTGTAGCTTATAAAGTACTTAGTTTAAAAAGTACTTAGCTTAGGGCCGGCCGAGTGGCTCAGCTGGTTAAGAGCTCGCTCAAGAGTGCGAGCTATGCAACCTGGAGCTGGGCTGCCATGAGTCGCCGGCGACGGCGTGGGCTGCAGTCCCTGTGGCAGTGGATTGCCATGGGCTACCGTGTGTGGCCAGCAGCCAG